TTAACTACATTCACTTTACTCAGTTCATATGTAGCACCAAGTGTAAAATATATAAAAATGTCACAAACACATCATTCGTTTTTTAGCTCACTTTTTGAGCTAACGTTTTATTGTTATTTAACTCACTCTTCTTATATTTTTACAAAATGTTATTCTTAATGGTAAAGTTAAATTTTAAATGTTGAAGTTTACATTTATGGAATGTCTTTGACAATAACAATCGCTAAAGCTGCTAATGCTCCCAATGATGCTAATATTGCTATTGCTACTGATGCTGCTAATGCTGCCAATGATGCTAACATTGCTATTGCTACTGAYGCTACTAATGTTGCTAATGATGCTAACACTGATAATGCTGCTAACACTGATAATGCTGCTACTGCTGCTAAGAAGCTAACACTGCTAATGATGCTTATGCTGCTAATGTTGCTAATGATGCTAACACTGCCAATGATGCTAACACTGCCAATGATGCTAATACTGCCAATGATGCTAATACTGCCAATGATGCTAACATTGCTATTGCTACTGATGCTGCTAATGCTGCCAATGATGCTAACATTNCTGCCAATGATGCTAACATTGCTATTGCTACTGATGCTGCTAATGCTGCCAATGATGCTAACATTACTATTGCTACTAATGCTGCTAATGTTGCTAATGCTGCTAACACTGATAATGCTGCTAACACTGATAATGCTGCTAACACTGATAATGCTGCTACTGCTGCTAAGAAGCTAACACTGCTAATGATGCTTATGTTGCTAATGATAATAACACTGCTAATGCTACGAACGCTAGCCTACAAGTCATCAAACTTACAGTTGTGGCCATCCATATTGCTTTCAACAAACACATTTTGAATTTAAAATTTTATTTTTCAGCAGTGTTAGAAGTGTTAGCAACGGTTAGCATTAGCTAACCAGGATGATGGCTGTGTCCAAAACGGCAGGACGGGTCCTCCGAAGGTCGAATTTGTTGGCCGCATACGTCACAGCGCCGCGA